TTAACAAATAAAGTTATGTAATTAACGAGTAATTTGGTTGCTTTTTTGAAGCAACAGTTAAAGAAATCTTGTTATGGTTTTAACAAGTCAAGCTATGCAATTCATAAGTATTGTTGCATAATTAACATGTAAAGTCAAGTAATTAACAAGTTATATTAAGGTATTAACAACGACAGTTACCTGATTAACAAGTAATGTAGCTTTGTTATGGGAGTCACAGACTTAACAAGGAAAGTTAAGTAATTGACAATTCCTGTTAAGGTATTAACAAGTAATTTATTTTTGTTGTAGGAGTTATGAGGTTAATAAGGAAAGTTAAGTAATTAACAAGTTCTTTTAAGATATTAACAAGTAAAGTTACGCGATTAATAAATAATGTAATAATTAAGTGGTTTGAAAATAATGTTTATTATATATATAATTTTATACATTATATGATTAAATGGGTTGAGTTGTTTGGTGGTCCAAAATCTTTTGATGAACCAAAGAGTCTTGGATTCTATACCCACCTTAGCCACCTTTGGAGAAATTAATTCTCCATCATTCCCTAGCCACTGCCGACGGTAGTCTAGCCGGCGGCCGAAGGTTTGGCGACAGAGGTTTAGTGGCTATCATCGTCGGTGAAGCTCTGGCCATCGACGACGATGGTTGGTGATTTTCTTTGTTTTTTTTATATTTGAGCTGAGGGTATTTTGATCTTTTTACTTTCAACTTATTTTTAGTTTAGTCTCATAAGACTAAATTAATATTTTAAAATTTTTTGAAAGTTATCTGAAGATAAATTGATTCTGTGATCCCTTAAATGAAATTCTCACATAATAACAAATCAGCAGCTTCAAATTTGCGAAATGATATTCCAACATAAGGTAGGGAGAGAGTGATAAATTTTGTTACTTATATTTTTAAGTAACATTATTAATATTTTATCACAAGTTTTTTACATTCCATTAAATTCCAATAAAAAAAATATTATTAAAATATATATTTAATAAAAATAAAAATAAAATTTTGTTAAATTTTAAAATGGAGTTAGTGAGTTTAAATTTTTTCCATTTTGATATATAAAAAATTACGGGCAAAAAATCAAGTAAAGACAGGTCCTCCATTCCTGATTTCTGGCCATTAGAAATAATAAGAAATAACAAGCCCTAATTAATGAGTTTAATTTCTATTTCAAAATAATAAGCCCTAATTACACCTCTTGTTTAAGAAATAAAAATTTTATTTTGTAAATCATAATAGTTAAACAAGAAATCACAATTTATTAAATGTGAATTTTGTTATTGAAAACAAATTCTTAAAATAATAAGTTTCAATCATAACTTTTATTCAAAGAATCGTAAAAATTAACAAGAAATTATAACTTGTATAAAATAATTTTTTTAATTTAAAACTTACTGACAAATTTTTTTAAAAAATTTTAATAAAATTATGGTATTTGAGGATTAGATTATTATTTATCTAATTTAAAGAGTTATTATTATTATTTTTTCACCATTCATTTATTAAATATATATATATATATATACACTTTTTTTTTTTTTTGCCGTATTGCTGTCACTCTCAACATGCAAATGACAGCTAATAAAAGAATTTGGTGAACGAAGGAAAAGTCGCAAATGGACGCGATGTTTGGATGGAACCATAGAAAAGGAGGGAATGTAAAGGGAGTTTCATAGAAAAGTGATTTTAGATTAAATACTACAACAAGGATAATTAATGGCCTTAAAAACTACAATTAGTATAATTAATGGCCTAATTAAGCATTAAAGTTTAGATTAAATGCACCGAATGGTCCACCATATCATACAAAATTATTAGCTATTTGGCAAACTTAGCCAGTAATATACAGGATCTTCTAGGCTTCTTAATTTCAAGTTACAACCAATGCATTTTTAAGCAGAAGATGAAACAAGAAGCCAAGCAAAATAACAAAGCATCAGAAATCAACTATGGCTCTCCAGTTTTTAACCAGCCCTACTTAGGATGCATGAAAGAATTAATATAATTTAGCAAAAAAATTATTAAGATCCCAAAGCGTCTTAAAGTGAATGATATGAAATAATGCTGGTAAGGAAAAAAAAAAGAATGATATGCAATAATAATAACATAATTAGTCTCTTCTATGGTAAAATAAGGTTCAAATCTCTACTATAAAAGAAATATATATTTAATATTTGATCATGTTTTAAATATAATTTTTTAATTAAAATAATAATAAAATGAAAAGAAAACAATATTATTCAAGGGCAGACAAACGAACGCAAAGTCGCATAAGAATTGAAAGCGAATAAATAAAAGAGATGAGGACTACTCACATGAGGAGACACGGGCACATGATAAAAGCAAAAAATCAAGAAAACCGACAATATTTTTGAACCTGTCAAAAATCTTTTCACCAGATGTCAGGGTCTTGTTTTTCCTCTTCGAATTTTCAATGAAATGAATAAACAGATAACAAGTGAGGCGAGAGAGTCATGGAATCACTCACAACGTGCTTCAGCAACAAAGTTTCGATTCTCTATCTCGCATAAGATTATTTTTAATAAAATAATATATATGAGTAATAAAGAAATAAAACTAGAAAAGATCACATAAAATCAATATCAATTAATTTAGAGAGAAATAATTATTTAGTCTTTATAGTTTTGATGCAGTTGTGTAATTCAATATTTAAATTTTTACTCGTTCTAATTCAATCATTATAATTTTAAATCAATTATAATTCAATTCCTGAATTTTTTTCTCTTACAATTTAGTTTCTATAGTTTCAACTATTTAAATATTGATCTCTATATATTAAAAAATAAAATTATAAAAATTAAAAATATTTTGAACTTTAATATTTATAATATTTACAAAGATTTAAAGGGTATTTAAAGTATTAATAATAAATTTTAACATAATTTTAATCTTTACAATTTTATTACTAATATTATAAGATTCTCTCCGTTAAAAAATGTAAGGTATTTTTTGAGAAGTTGAATGTTAAAAAATATAAGGCATTTTTAGTCTTTTGAGGTGTAATCATTGCCTTTTTTTTAAAGTGCCCCTATTGATAATGACTTTATATTTATTATATGGTGTTTAATAGGGATAAATATGAAAAAATAGAGTTAGTTGAAAATTAGGTAACTACTTTATTGAAGGATGAGATTCGGTTAAAAATACCTCACAGTTTTCAACGGAGGGAGTATTAAAAGTTCAAAATATTATAAATATTAAAAATTTAAAATATTATAATTTTAATCTTTTAATCTTTAAATACTATAAATATTAAAGGTTTAAAATATTTTTATCCTTATAATTTTATTTTTTAAAATATAGGATCAATATTTAAGTGGTTGAAACTATAGGGACTGAATTTTAAGAAGACAAAGTTTAAAAACTGAATTACAATTAAGTTAAAACTATAAGAACTGATTTATAATGATTTAAAGTTCATAAATTAATTTATAATTGAATCAAAATTATAAGTATCAAATAATTAATTTTTTTCATTAATTTAATAATATGATGGGCTTGCTAAGCCACGTAGATAGCATAAATATTAGCTCCTCTAATTACTAGCCACGTGGCAGTTGACGTAACATTCAAGGTAATAATAATAAAATAAAATATTAATAAATTTTTTAAAGTAATTATTGATGTACATGCAATGTCACATGTACTGTTTATGATAACTTCTATTTATGCGATAACTAAAAAAATAATAGGAAGTGTGAAAAGAATAAAAAAAATTAAGAAAGTTAATTTTAATTTTTTAAATTTTACCCAAATTTTAAATTTGTAGGGATTTGAATTGATATTTGTAATTTATTTTTTTAAAAAAATTATTTTTAAAAAACATAAATATCATTAATTAGCTTTTTTTGATTGAAACTTTTTCATATTTTAGGCTTACTATTTTGATTTCTTAATGTAAGATGAATTTATATTTGCATGCATATATATATATATATATATATATAAGAGACAAATGATTCAAAATTTGAAATCCTTATAACATATCATATATAAATATATATCATATTTATATATTTAAAAGGTCAATTATACTACTTATATGAAGGGTATCAATTGTTGTAAATTTTAATTTTGCATTAATGATTTTATCTTTTAGATATAACCTTAAAAGATTAGTACAAAACGGTTCAACATCTAATGTTTTTTTTTTCCTCAAAAAATGAGTTTAAATGCACACAACCTATTGAATATTTTAATCGGATCGCATCATCCATTTTTTATTTAAACATTTTCATATGATAACTGCTATAACATGTGTTATATCTGTAAAAACTGTTAAGTTTATATATGGGAAGATATCTTCTAAGAATTCCTTGAGAGTTTTTATATCAATAAAATATTTTAAAAATATGAAATTTCACTGCATTCTCCAAATACCTATCTGAAAATAAGATTTAGTGAGAAAAAAGTCAATTACCTTGTCAGTTAAATCTATTACAATTTGTTATAAATTATTAACTTATAGCTTAGCTGAAAAATCCATTAGCTTACTTGGTAAAAAAAAAAAATTTCATTATGTTGAAAAAGTAGCATGATGAGAATTGTCAGGGATTTAACAAAGCCATATTACATATTATTTAATAAGTCATGGTAAGCACTAATTTACATTTTCTCTTTGTTTTTATTAAGGACAATTTAGTAATTTGCCTTACAAAATTATTTTCATTTTAGTCTCAACAATTTGTGATATATTTTTTTAATTAAATCACATCAATAGCACTAATAGTAATTTGCTCTCCCTAGATAATATTAGAATTTAGAAAAGCCAGGCTAGCTGTGCCCTTATCTTATTCCATTTCAACCCTGCACCATCTGCATAAAGTCACCTCCACCACTATCAGCATTTCAATTTAAGCTGTCTTTTTTTTTGAATTTTTTTCTATAATTTTTTAGTCAACTATCAAAATTAACAGAGATTCGAGTCTCATGTATCAGCCAGCTGCTTCGGTGAAGAAGATCACTAAACGCGACCCATGATTGAGCCGCAAGGAACAATCAAGTTGGGTATTACTGAAGAGCAGGAGGAAATTCATCAACAACCTCCCCAACAAGTAAGATTGCTACTGTTTGATGCTTAGATATATGTATGGTATTATAGATTCTTTGGCATTTCATTTCATTTTTACTTAGTAAAAGATTTGTGAGAGATTACAAGAAATTAGTGCTATTGAATGATCAAGTGTGTACTGTAGTCGCTCTCTAGTTTCTTCTCAATTTAGATCTCATCCCCTTATCCCAAGCTTATGTTCCTCTTTCCTCCTATTTTGCTTATGCAAAATTGCTGATTTCTCTTCTGAATCAAAATGTAGTTGGCAGATCATGTGATCATAAACATGGAAGCAATGATTCATCGAAACCAAAGGGGTGACTTGTTACCTAGATGCTGTATCTACTATCTAGCTATAAGGTGACTTTGTATGATCCATGATCGATACGTAAATGCTTATTCCCTAAATTTTATTTCACTTGGCCTCATTCATTATGGTGATAATAGACTACGAGATATGGAAAGGCATGAAGAAATTTAATTTACAATATTTGCCGGTGAATCTCAGAAAAGCTGGAGTGATTTGGTTAGTTATGTTGCCATATCTTCAGTGTAACAAGTTCATGATTCTTGCTCAAACATCCACCTTAGTGACATGGTACCTGTGGAACTTAAGAGAGAGCATGGAGAGGATTCACATCCCTCTTATTAATTCCTCTTATTTTGTTGCATACATAATTATTGTTGTTTTCGGAATCAAATTTGATAAATGGAAGTGATGTGATGGTTAACATTGAAGCATTGATTCAATATAGCGGAGAGATAATTTTTTGGTAACAGATTGTTGTATTGAGCTTTTCATTTAGTTTTAGTTATAAAGAAGATTTAATTACTTTGTAAGATTTCAACTTATACAAGTACGTGCTTGTATCATTAATTTCGCTTATTTGGTATATATACGTAATTGTTTATTGTTTTGTTAGGATATTCAATTGTAAGTGAATCTAGGTTAATTGTTTATTCATAGAGATTGGCTTGTATAAGTTAATTTAGGCTGTAGGGATTGTAACTGTTTTGCTGACCTTCTTGCTAAGAAAGGTCATAGTCTTTGCTCTGATTTTGAAATCTTTAATTATCATCCAAACTCTGCAGCCTCTTGAGTTAGAGGATGATGAAACGTTGCCTTTGGTTTTCTCTTATTAGGCATGTCATTTCTTTGCTATTGCTTTATTTATAGTTATTCAGTACTTCATAAAAAAAAACTAAGTCTTATATTGGATAAAATTGAACTTAATAAATAATATATATAATAAAGTAAAAAGGCATATAAACCTAAACTCTAAAGATTTTAGTTAAGTTGCGGCATCGATTTCACTACTTACCATTTATTTGTTCTCTCCCTTTGATAGATGGAACAATATGATGTACTGGTAGACATTGAAGCAATGATTCAATATAGTGGAGGGTCCATTTGGTAATAGATTGTTGTATATAGTGTTTCATTTAGTTTTTAGTTATAAAAAAGATTTAATTACTTTGTAAGATTGCAAAGTTACTAGTCTGTGCTTGTGTCATTAAGTTGATGTGAAGATGAAGTTTCACGTTGAAAAAAGTTAAGTCTAATAAATAATATATAATAAGTGAAAGGACTCATGCTTTAAAGCTTTTATTTTAGTTAAGTTGTGCCTTTCACTGCTTATCATTTTTTTGTTCTCTATTTTGTAGATGGACCAAGATGATGTGATGGTTGACATTGAAGCAATTATTCAACAAAGTAGGGATGGTCTTTTGGATCCAGATTGTTGTATCTCGAGGGTACCTTACACGTTACGTGATATAAAACCAAATGCTTACGCCCCAAAATATATTTCGATTGGTCCCTTTCATTATGGTGAAGAGAGGCTTCAAGATATGGAAAGGCACAAACAATTCTTCTTGAAAATATTTAAACAAAGAACAAGTACAAGCTTGGAGGATTTGGTTTGTTCTGTGAGACGTTTAGTGCCAAAAGTGCGTGCTTCTTACTCAGAGAACATCAACCTTAGTGATAGCGAACTCGTGAAATTGACATTAAGGGATGCTGCTTTCATCATCGAATTTTTCTACTCATTCACTAGAGGAGGATTACTGGGTGATGCTATGCTGTTAAGCCCAGCATTAAATGGAACCATACAAGTTGATTTGGCTTTGCTTGAGAATCAATTACCATTCTTTGTTATTGAAGAGCTATTCAATAATGCTCTCTCCCCCCTTATCCATAGCAAGGACCTCCCTTCATTTTGTGTTCTCGCTTGTGAGTTCTTTGCTCAGGCATTTGATCTCCAGAAGCCAACTCAGGATCCTTGTAATGGAAGCATAAAGCATTTCACAAATTTGCTTAGGCTTTTGTTCTTGCAAAGAGCACCAAAAATGGAACCATATTTTTAGATTGTTGACATTCTTTCGCACGGTGCAAAACAGTTGCAAGAATTTGGAGTCAAGTTCAAGGCTAGCGAGAGCAAGAGCTTATTAGACATCAAGTTTTCAAGACATGTTCTTGAGCTTCCACAGATTTTGGTAGCAGAACCATTAACTGGAACTTTGTTTCATAACATGATTGCCTTTGAACAGATCCATTGTCCTCTTACCATTTACATTTCTAACTATGCTACTATGTGGGGATGCCTAATCAAGAGAAAGGAAGATGAAAATGTTCTCATTGATACAAAAATAATGCGCAGCTTCAAACCTGATACTGAGTGTTGTTTCATTTTTTAGAATCATGGGACAGAATGTCTTTGAACCAAGGATGATTTTTGAATACATTGACATCTTCAAAAAGTTGAATCAATTCTGCCAAAATCCTTTGAATCGGGGAAAAGCTACTTTGAGAGGTGGCTATTGCAGGACCCCTTGGCAAACTGTGGCCTCTTTCGCTGGAATCATAATTCTTATACTCACCCTTCTTCAAACCATATTTTCTATTGTCAAGTAGCATACATACAAAGCTTGTATATACATTTGAGTGTTTGCATCCTCAAAATTTGTCATGTTGTGTTCAAATATTGTTCTGTGATAGTTGTATCCGTTTAAATCTTTTGGATGAAAATCAACTGTGAAATAAAGCAATGTTGCATGGTATTTTCAACTTCATATAAACTTGTTCAGTTATCAAAAGACAATGTTTTATTAAATAAAGGATTAAAGACCATTTTCCCTTAAACAAATTTTTTAGGTCAAAAAGCTTTCATTAGAGACCCATGACCTTTTTCATTATATACTAATGTTAAATAGTTATGGGGCCCGCGTACAATGATAGCGAGGCATTTTGATCTATTTTTTTTGTTGGTTCAATACTAAAATCAGGCCTAGTTCTTGCCAATGCCAATGCCACTTTCAGTCCCTTTAACCCACATCAAATGATTAAAATGGGTCGAAATGTGTTGTTGTCATTGTACGTGAGCCTCACAACTATTTCATGTTAGTGGATAATGGAGAAAATGATAAGTAATCTAATAGAAGGGTAATTTTGCTTTTGAAAAAAATTATTTAGGGGGGATATTACCTCATTGTTCGGTACAAGGTGCCTAACACTCTTCAAAAAGAAATGTAGATGAAAAAAATAGCCTTTAACCCTTAAATTAAAAAAATGGAATCATGTAAGAGTACAATTAGCCTATGAATGGATGTTGCAATTTAATTTTCTGTGTTCATAAAGACACAATGATATACTTCAAAGTTCTTCATTAAATGAGAGCTTAAGAACTCTCCAATCATAACAAAGTTCAACCATATATGCTACACACTCCAATATAATCTCAAGAGAAGGTCCTAACCTAACTTCCACCAATATCTTGGTGATTGATAAAGCTTTTCTATGTGATTTTGAAGTTGCCTACACAAGTCATAACGTAATTTATTGGACCGAAGCCACTAGTCCAATACGCAGAGCAATACAATCTAAACTCGAAAAGACACAACACAAGCTTGAGAAGGCTGAAATCTGATGGTCTTTAATTGTCTTCTTCTTTCATCTCCAAGGTCAAATGTATATACATATGCGCGCGCGCTATAAAATACACACACATGAAGGTAAAAGAGTGAATTGACATCTAAACTATAAGTTTATAAATCTCTGTAATCTTATATTCATTTTTAGTATAATGTTTATCTTTAACTTTTAAAAATAGCACAATTAAGCCCTTATCATAACAAAAGTTAACTTTGATAATTAATTAGCAAGAAAATAACAGAAAAGAATATAAAAATTATAAAAAAATGACAAATAATTAAAATGAAGGATGCAAAAGTTACAGAAAATGACTAATAAAAATTATGATCAATGAATAGTTAAAGTTAATTTTTTTTAATAACATGGACCAAATTTTACCATTTTCAAAAGTTGAAAGGAAACATTGAATAAAAAATGAGTTTATGGCCCCAGACGCTCTGGAACCTATAGTTTAAGGGTCAATTTTTTATTTTATCCTATATGTAAGTTACTTTTTTAAATGATTTAGAATTTAACACCTATATAACTCCAGTCAACATTTTTCTTGCATTTATGTTAATTACATCTTTCCATTAAAAATTCATTGTTGGGAAAATTGCAAGTAAGTCTTTCCATAGTGTCAAAATTGTGCAGGAGGATCAAAGAACAAAATTTTAGTCATTTAATTTTACTCTGTTCCATGTGATTCCTTTAAATAATAAAGTGTGGTAAAAAAAGGGAGAATAAAATTATCGATCCTTATAATTTTATTGTGTTATGCTTTTAGTGTAATTTTTTTTGAATATTTTTAGTTCCTGTAATTTTAAAAAGACTGGGAGACATTTGTTTTTAGGTCCTTATAAGAATTGAAAATATTAAAAGAAAAACTACCTCAACAAAACTTTATAAAATTATGGAGATTTATAATTATGTCTCTAAAAAAAACTTTCAAGCACTACTAGCGAAAGTGCTTGGTTCAACCGGCTTAGGATATATAGCCATATAATGGGAAAAAAAAAATACTTTTTAAACACTCCGATCCCTCCTATTCTAATTGTATTGCGAAGTTAAGAAAAATATAAAATAAAGATATACTTTTTTTGAATTATAATATAAGATATTGAAAACTGTTTCACAGTTATAAAAAAAATTAGGTGAAATTAATTTTATCCTTATTAAATATTTTATATAAGTTCTTTAATTATAACAATTGAAATCCTAATACATTATTTTTTTAAAAAAAGATTAATAAATGAAGGGTATAGTTGAAAAAATAATTATAAAAATTATTGTATACCTTATATCTTGAATCAAGCATGACTTTTAAAAAATGTTTTATATTGTGTTACAAGAGAGGGTGGAATTTATATATTATTTCAATTTGACCCTTTTTTATTATACAAAGTTGTTGGCAGAGGGTACTTTTAATTTTGATGCCCATCTCAGTTTATAAGCTGCTTTTTTAAATAAAATTATACATGCACACAATAATAAAATTCATAAAATATAATTTATAATATTATTTTTTAAGGAAAAATATTTAAAGTGTCAAAAAATAAAAATAAAAATATTTATTATTTTTAAATATAGGATAATTTCAATCAACTTACATAATTTAAAAAATTAGTTGATTATAACAATTATATTTAAAATTGAAAAGTTTAGACTAAAATGCCAATGTAATTAATATTTATTTTTTCTCAAATCTAATGAGACAATTCATTGTGAGGGATGATTTGAAAAATATAATTAATGTTTTTTAAATTGTAGTGTTGCTTATAATAAATTAAAAAAAATTAATCATTTAGCCCTTGACTTAGTTGTAATATAATCCTTGAACTTTATTATAATTTAGTTTCTAAATTTTTAATTTAATTATAAATTAATTTCTAAATTTACCTCTTGAAATTTAGTTCTTGAGGTTTCAACTTCTTAAATATTAATCCCTATATTTTAAAAAATAAAATTATAAAGATTAAAAATATTTTAAAATTTATTACTAATATTTAAAATTATTAAACCCTTTTAATCTTTATAAATATTATAAATATTAAAATTTTAAAATATTTTTAATCTTTATAATTTTATTTTATAAAATATAGGGACCAATATTTAAAAATTTGAAACTTTAAGGATTAAATTGTAAGAGATAAAGTTCAGAGATTAATTTATAATTGAGTTAAAACTTCAGAGATTGAGTTATAATGAACCAAATTTTAGGGACCGTGTTACAATTGTGTCAAAATTATAAGGACTAAATGATTAATTTTTTTAATTAAAAAAGAAAAAAATGGTAATTTCTCTTACACTCAATCAATTAAAAAATGTAAAATATTTTTAAGCAAATCTTATTTTCAATAAAGTAATTAATTATTTTTAAACTAACATCATCTTTTCATATTTATACTTATTTAATATTATATTTTTTACTTTAAAATAAATATAAAGTGATTTATTTATCATAAATACTTTAAAAAATATACTAAATATATTTTAAAATACTAAAAAGGTTTAAGGTGCATTTTTATTTCTGAATTTTTTCATGAAAAGCAATTTTATCCCTATACTGATAAATAAATAATTTTACCTCTAAACTATTTTTTGAGAAACAAACCTTTCTACAAGGTGTCGAATGCTCCTTAAAAAAATAGTTTAAAAAGTAAAATTATTTTACTTATAAGTACGGAAATAAAATTACTAATGGAAAATAAATTTAAGAATAAAAATGTGCTTTGATTAATCCTATTAAAAATACTTCACAATTTTTAACAAACAGTTTTTTTGAAAATGTCCGTATTTTTGTACCAAGAGAGCATTGAAAACGGACTAGTCTACAATTTAGGGGTAATTACAGTGTGAATTATTTTATTGTAATGGGAAACGCGTGGGTTATGGCGCCATGAACCGACCACATTTATTAATGAATTAATTAATTATGACCATTTGTCCCTTCTTAGTCTTAGGCCAGCCTTTCAATATTACCGGTCGCAGTACTTTTTATAGTTTTTAAATTTATTGGACAAAAAGAGGAACCAAACAAAGGAAGGGCACGTGAATGATAATGGTGTTTTAAAAAGTCAAGGTCTTGCACGCCATTTTATAACCACATCGTAAAATGACAGGCACTTAAATTCATACGTTCCCGTGCCGTGGCGGTTATTAGGATGGCTCCTGGTGTGAACATCTGAATATTTGGGAGAGGATGACAGTAAATTTTAAGAGAATTTATTAATTTAAATTAAGTCTCAGTAAATTTTAGAGCCTCAACAGAGTCTATTAATTTTTTGGTAGTAAAATATTAAGTTTAATACTTTCCTGGATTTACAAGTTTTTTTGTCAACAAATTTGCAACTTTATTGTAATATATTTATAACTTATTTTTTAAAATTTTAACAGTGAATACAAATATTTATTTTTTATGTTGAAAATTATTAAGTCTAATAACACTACAAATTTA